TTTGTGCTTAGAGTCCGCTTTCTTTAGGAATATACAAAGGACATTAGCATCGCCCCTGCGCAAGGACGACACACATTAGAAACGAATTAACGATCCAAAAAATTCCAACGGTTAGGATATTTGCCTTCCAAGCAAAAGACCAGAGTTCGACTCCCGGCAGGAAAATAAGTCACTGAATGGTACACAGTACACACATGTAACTGTTATATCTAACAGATCAGGAGCTCCAGTTCTTCTTCTTTTTTTTTTTTGCTTTTTTCTTAACAACAGCAACCATGGACTAGATGATCTAGATCCCTTGGGTGATAGAGGCAGGCAGTGTCCGTAATCCTTACCGCCGGTGTACAAGCGCAAGGCTGCAGGGTTTTGAACCCACAACCTCAAGGCTCAAACCGCAATGCCCATTTCCAACCGGTGCTCTACCCACTGAGCTAATCGGCTGTTCATGAGCTCGAGTTCTGGTATAAGAAGACAAAACAAAAAAATGAAAGCGATCACAATCATCACATACAAAATTTCACAAATGAAATGACATTCAAGCCAGTTGTTGACTTGAGCTCAAAGCTTACTTCATTTCAGGCAGTTAAGGGGTCAGGTTCTGACATCACCTGCTGCCTTAGGAATTTTTTCTCTTCTTCCTCAATGTCTGCAGTCGCTGCAACAGTGACCGATTGCGTCCCAGGCTGTGATTGCTGCTCTCGGCTAGCTTCCCGTTCCCTGTCTTTGTCGATGCCATGCTTCCATGGGATATAGATATATTCGGACACAACAACCACAAAGTATTCCTGCGTTTTTCAAAAAGCAACGAGGAAAGAAAAAAGTTTTGATTAGCATTTTGCAACTTCTCATACATTGCCTGCACTGCATTTGGTACACGTCTGGCAATGTCGTTGTGTTGATCGAATGCTTCAACGGGATATCGATATATTCAGACACACAACGGGCACAATCTTCCACAAAGTAATCCTGTATTTTCTATATTTTTATTTTTTTATCTCTCTCACACACACACACACACACACACACACACACACACACACACACACACACACACACACACACATGGCCCATCTATTCTTGTTTTTTTTTTTTTCTGCTCACAATTTCACAAAGAGATATTTCTTCAGAGCAACATAAGATGAGGAGAAAAAAAAATAAAAAAAATCGGACACAACAATTACAGAAGCTCCGGTTGCTTATCGATGGCGAATAGATTAACGGTGAGAAAAAAAAAAAAAAGTACTCAGAAAATAGTCCCAGAGGTGGCCCCTGTGGCCCCTAGACGGCTCAACAGTTCCATCCTTCAAAATGACGAGAAACGGAAATTTCAAATTTGGTAAGCGTTTTACAAATTCCTCTGCACCCCCTANGCCCCTAGACGGCTCAACAGTTCCATCCTTCAAAATGACGAGAAACGGAAATTTCAAATTTGGTAAGCGTTTTACAAATTCCTCTGCACCCCCTACCTTCCCCTTCACCCCATTTGTTAATTGTTTTGCGACTTCTTCGTCGGGATATAGATATAGTATTATAGTCGGAATTTCGGGCCCATCGACTACGAAGTATTCCTGCACCTTGCAAAACAATGAGAGAAAAACTTGGGTAAGCGCTTTAAAAAGTCCTCTGCCCACCCCACCCCTCTCATCTCCGCATTCAGCTCCTTAACGAGTCCTTAGTGTTTTTTTTTTTTTTTTTCCAATGATCCTTTCCCAGGTTCACCTACGAAAACCTTTTTGTTACGACGTCTCCTTCCTCCAAATGATAAGTTTGAATGAACTTTTTTTTTTTTTTTTTTTTTTTTTTGAAGAACAACCCGACCGGATGAACTTCTCATAGCACCCCCAGCGGCAAACTGCCAAGATCTCCGCTAACAGACTCTTCACCCGACCATTCAATCGCTCGGAGACTAGGAGTCGATGGCTAGCAGAATTGTTCAGTCACCATGTTGTTGCGGGGAGCCCTTTTGGAACACCCAACAGCGTTCTGTAATGTAAAATTTTACATAGAGAAAAGCCAAAAAAAGGAAGCAAAAACACTCACCTGAGTGGCTTTGGGAAGGTACTCCACTATGTTCCAGCAAGAAATAATATCAGGATGATCCATCTCATCCTTCTTATCGACGCTGGACTGGCTTTCTGAAATTCCCTGGCTGTTTGCTGCACCTGTGTTCTTGCTTCCCTTGCTTGGCGTTGCTTGAATGCCACCATAATTAAACTGTGACGAATATCAATGAAAATGCCCGGATCAGCGTACAGATAAGCATGATGCACCACGTGGTTCAAGTCTTAGTTTATTCGTGGCCATGATTGGAGCTATAGTACTTGCCATGCAGAAGACTACTCAAGTAAAAAGACGAGATGTTTTTCAACAAAATGTGATAGATTTTCAAACGACTATCAAACAAATACAACAATAGAAAGGTCTCCAGTAGCTCAGTGGTTAGAGTAAATGGCTGTTAAGTGCACCGGTTTTGACTTCTAAGTTGCTTATCTAAAACAATACCTTACCTTACCCCAAGCGGCTAGACTCTTGCGAGAGCCGACGAAGGCCTCTAGAACCGGGGATGTTGTTGTTTTTTTTCCCGTCGTATTTTGCATGAAAACAGTGAAACTGTCATATTGCCCTGATTTTTTGCTTTTTTTCTTGTTTTCTTCTTTTCATGTGATACGTAGGTGCTTTAGGGTACATAATGTGTCCAGTTTTGACATGAATTTTCGGTCTTCCGTTAACCGTGTGTCACATGATGACAAGTAGATAAAGAGTGATTGATGAATCATCAAACAGTACTGTGAATCATCAGACAAACTTCAGCGTAATGACAAGCAGAATCCACGCATTTTTCAATTGAACATGGGAAACGTTATATAATTTCGTAATTTTAAAAGTCCGAACCTTCTTCCTTCTTCTTCCTCTTTCTTCCACTTTCTTCCTCGTCCTTTCTTTTCTTTTTTCCTTTATTTTTTCATAATCCCGTTTTTTATTCAACTTCGGTCCATTTGGATTCTCACTCAGGGCTGTATTTCAACAGTTCATAGGTGTATCAACTGGGCTAGGCCCGCCGGTACACCGGTGTTTGTCGGTGAAGTCCTATCCCTTGGGACATCAGCAATGGTTGGAACCATACGAGAAAGAATCAAAAGATTTGTTAAACCTTAAAACTTAAAATTGGTTGGGCATGTCCTTACGGACAACCGTTAAAATTGGAACGATACAGAGAAGATAAGCATGGCCCCTGCACAAGGATGACGCGAATAAATTGAGAAATGGTCCAATTAAAGAAAAAAAAGAAAAAAAAAGGAGGTTGGGAATCGGCCCATAATGTCGTTCCGGACAGCAAAGCTTCTAAAATTTCACTACTACAGGGAAGATACGCATGGTACTCAAACATTTAGGGAACCACACGGACAAATCGAGAATGCTCCAAATCATTCAGAAACAAACAGGTCGATGATATACAGGCATGATGATTACTCTCCTGAGTCTCCTCCCTTTCTCGACCTTTTGGCAAAGTAAGATCAAGTGTCGTATCAGTTCTGATCAGTTCAATATCCGATCGGTGGTCCATTGGACCACACACACACACACAAAAAAAAAAAAAAAAAAAAAAAAGGAGATTACTCTCCTGATGGTTCTCATCACTTCTGCATCCGTTCATAGTAGATCACCAGTTTTGCATGGGACTTGAATGGGACCAGTATGGGACTTCGAGGAACTAAGAATGAACATACCTGATCCATGAACAAGAGTGTATGCCAGTATCGCTCGGGAATGAGCTCAACCCACTCAAACAGCTCCCTGCCATCACAACATCACCAAATATGAGAAAACAAAGACCCATGGAGGAATGAAACAACAAGAGGAGAAAAGAGAAGAGAAGAGAACATAACATGAAAGAGAAGAGAAGAGACGACGAGATAGATGAAGAGACGAGCAAAGAAGCGAAAAGACAAAAGAGAACACAGGAGAAGAAGGGATGAGGATGATCCGAGCGATGCTCTTATCGAAGTTATCGTCCCTTTTGATTGCCGGACGCCTTCTTGCCTTTACGTTTGCTATATGTTCATTGGAATTAATCCTTAACGTTGCCTGCTTTTCCGGCTCTTTTTCACTGTCTCAACTTTGACACTTCAGTGACTTTCGCCGAAGTTTCGCGCGATAACTGTGGATGGCTTTCACATGCATCTCTCTCTCCCTTTTTGTTTTTTCAAGAAAGAAAAACAGGTCTTGCACAGGAAAAAAAAAACGAAGTCCACCTCCTGATTTTTTTTACTTTTCGGAATTTCCTCCCCCCCCTTTTCTTCAGAACCTTGCGCTTCTCTCTATTGGTGGGGAGCAGCACCTGCTGAAACAGGGTCCAGCATCCCTGAATTGAGAGACACCGACTCTAGAACGCTTCCCCGCATTACGGCCTGAGGAACCCTGACAGCTGCACAGCATTGATTACTTCACATGCATTTCTCTTTCCTTCCACTAGGAAAAAACCTGCTTTTTTTTTGGTGTCACCGTTCTTCTGTGTCGTTCTTTGCCGCTGCCTCAACTTTGACACTCCTGCGAGCACACCACCACTTCTTCCTCTTTCTCCTTCCCACTTCCTTTTCGACAGCCTTGAGATTTCATCGTTGAGCTGACCGGCCCCAGGTAACTCAGAATTATTTTATTCTGTTCATCTGATCGCAGCAGGATTTGAACTTGGGTCTGTATTTCAACAATTCACTGGGTGCACCAAGTGAGCTAGGCCCGTCGGTCGTCACTTCATTCCTCTTTCTTTTCCTTTCATAATCATTTCCTTCCTCTCTCCCCCTCCTTCTTCCCATTTCTCTTTTTTTCACTCTTACTTGTGCACCTGTGCTGGTTTGGGATGCAGTTCAATCAATGTACATTGTACAATTGATTGTTCTCTCCTTGCTTTTCTCCCCCCTTTCTATCTCCACTTCCTTCTCCTTTCCTTCTTTTCCTCTTTCAATCCCTTGACATCAGCTCAAGCGAGAGACAAAGCGAAAGGACAAACAGGGCGCCATTCGGTGCCACCTATCTGCAACAACCTGCGGCAAGAAGAAAACAAGACAGGAACCAGAACAGTGGAATGACTTTTTCCAAGTTTTTTGAAGTTTTTTCACCATTATTTCCATCTCACATGCAAGGCTCCCATTCCTTTTCTTTGCGCGC